TGGTTGACTTAAGCATATACCTTATTTAAGAATCTCTGTGTAGTGAGTGGAAACATTACTCAAAATAATTGTTTGTTTTATGGCCAAGTATATATAGCGAGATGGGTTGGAAGATACTGATCCTGATTGTTCCTGCAGCTGGACTTGTTATTTCCATGGGGAATTGAGAAAGGTGTGATTTTGAAGAGCTAGGCATCACTTACAAATAAAAGATAGGGTGCGTAGTTTAAGTGTCAGATTTTATGTTCAGTGATATTAAGAAAATCCAGGTGACCTAAGCTGAGGAGACAGTTCTTCCAAGAAAAAAAAAAAAGATCCAGTAATCAACATCCTAAAATAAAAATATTTTGGGGGAAGGGAGTCATTGGTATTTCATTTTTCTATCATCTACGTGAATATAATCTGAGATAGTGCATGGAGATGAATTATGAATGTTTAGGAAATGCTTAAGAAAAGGGTTATATGCAGCTTTTGTTCTTTGCTATCTCTGACAAGAGAAAATGACACCGACACATTATGTTAGCTTTTTTCTTAACAAGAAACAATCCTTAATTTGTCACAGCTTCACCTCCTCTTCCTGCAGAGACTCATCTCCCTGATAAGCCAGCCCTTGCTTTTTTGCCTTCATGCTTGGTGAGGTATGAAAAGTACCTGTAACATTTATTTTTTCGTAAGACACATCTCACTTACTCCTGGTGGACTTGCCCTTCCTACACAGGCTTTGATCCTGGCATCACCCCATTTTCCCCACTGGGATCTGCCGGATGTCGTTTCTGCCCTCAAGAGCTGGAAAGCACAGCTCAGGGTGAGATCCTGCTGCTGCTGCTCCCACAGATGTCTGTGTCACGCCTGGCAGCCGGCTTAGGCTGGGCAGCAAGCCCACCAGGGCCAGTACAGCAAATCAGCTGGTAAGTGAGCAGACAGAAAAATTAGGCTAGGAAAACATCAAGGGCAAATATTTAAGTTGTACAAACAAATAGTGTAATTAATATACTAAACAGTTCTGCTTCCTTGTGGAGTTTATATAAAATAAATAAAAAAAACAGGTGTCTCCTTAAATAATGATTTGCTGAAGAATACAAGTGCAGCAGACAAAGTAGCCAGTGGTTAGCTCTGGTTTAGCTTCTCTTTTTATGGAAGCTTTGAGAGATGCTGAGTGTTTTTATCATTCTGGGTAGTTCTGGGTTTTTTTTTAGCATTCAGAGTATTACATAAGCAGAACTCAGAAATAAATGGAATAGAAGAATAAAATATGTCAGTGTAAGTGCTACAGTTTGTATAAACAGAAGGTATGATCTGACTTTCAAGAAAAACAAGGTGCTGCTTTGATAGAAAATGATCTTTTTCCTACTATATGCCCCTTTGAAGTATCTGTTTAACATTCAAGACATTTCACAGTAGTCAGGCTAAGAAATGCCTGACGTACATGTATGGAACATGTCTGTGAAGGTGCAGAATCCCTTTGATGTACACCCAGCTCCAGCTCCTTGTCTTTAATTCCAGCCAGATTCTTACACACACATTCAGTAGGTTAAAGCAGCAGTTATTAAGCGTATTCCATTTTTATGTGACATTGTAAACCTTTTATGAAAAGTGTTACATAAGCATTACTTATGTGGAGGAATTTAAGTGAAGTTAGCATGAGTCCACATGAGAGTATGGAAGCCTTTATACAGGTCTGCAGTTTTAAGCTGCAGTGTGTCAGATGTAATTATTTACACTGATGCATGTTTTTACATGCTGTAGCCATTTTTTCCCCATACCTAGAATGTTCAAGATTTTAGGAACATCCATAAATTACTACAGAGCTCAGAAACACGTATTCCACAGAGTTCTGGTATAACTGCTACTTTCTGCCAAATTTTTCTGAATGGTTTGATAAAGAGAATGGTTTCAGTGACTATGTGAAAGTATTTAATAGATAGAATATGTTACAGTACCTATAATGTTCTGTGCAGTAATGAAAGTTAAAAAGTCAGACAAAATAATGTGACTGATTTTAATAGAATTAGGGCTCAGTACAGTCAGTTGCTTCTAAATTCCATTCAAATTTTAAAATTATACAAACAATTGAGTGTATTAGACTTGATGCTGTGAATATTTCCTATTGTGCTCCTCTGAAGCTGCAGAAGAATCTGTCCTAATTTATAAAATTATGGTAATGTTTTACAATTTGTGAAAGAACTGTTGTTGCCAATCTTAGAAGCAGCTGTGTTTCAGTAATGGATTGAGTCACTATATACATCATGTTTCACAGGGGTTGCAAAATCTGTTTGTAAAATACTTTTCACTTCTTGAAGGATGTAACCTATATGAAAATGCAGTGTATAATTTTTGTTATATTTACTTCAAAGTAGACCTGGAAATATTGTATGTGGACTTTATTATATGTAGGTCTCAGGAGATGATCTTTCTCTCCTCCAACTAGCTTCTGTCTGAAATCTTCAGAACAGTTACCTGCCATGGTACTGCTGTCTGGCTTGACAGGGCAATGCATCTGCTTCATTTTCTGCTCAGAATCTGTTGGACTCCTTCAGAAAGCTTCCCTTGATATCAGCATCCTCCTTAGTAGAACCTCCACCATTTACTTTACAACCCATTCTCACCAGCACGAGATTGTGACATTTATAATAGTGAATAAACAGCCTACAGGAGCACAGTGGTGACTGGACACCACTTTGGAAGCCAGAAAATAGTCATTATGTGGAAACAAGCTGGAAGCCACTGATCTGACTTGCATGCAGCCCCTCAGCCTTGCAGGGTCCCTTGGGGCTTGCCTTGAGCCACACATTTCCCCACTGCAGTGACTGTGCACTTGCTCACATATGCATCTGGGGCATTTACCTTCTTCCTGGGAGCACAGGGAGGTTTTGCATTTGCAAATCGTTCCTAGTTTTTGGGTGGAAGGTGCTCCAAAAATTGTGAAGTGCTTGTTCTGTGTTGTTCCAGAGTTTGTTAATTATTAAGGCTTTTCATTATGTAACAATTCAACTTTAAAACTGTCATCTTTCCTATTACATCATAGAAATAGCAGAGTTGGCTCTGCACCTTTTTAATAGCGACTGCTGGGGTATTTATTAACATCTGTTCCAATACATTTTTCATTGAATACTGAGAGTTAGAATATAGAAATGTCATATTTTTCTTAGTATTAAGCAGTTGCTAAACTAGAAACATAACTCTTGCCAGATAGTTATTTAGTATGCATGTCTTCTTCATAGAAAATGAGCATGCACTTTTCTTTCATTAAGTATTTTAAAGTTCATCCTTGTTTTGTGACCTAATCAATTGAAGTGAGTTTATGAGCAGCTTGTGAGAGCAGAAGAATAATTAATTTTAAGTCTTGAATAAAGTGCATTCTTTTCCATTTTTGTTTGCTAATGAATATTTCAAACTATTCATACATATAATAACAGATCTTATAGAAAATAGTACGACAGAAAGCTTAGAGCACTTTGTAAATAACTCAGTGTTTGTAAACTAAATTACTACTTTTTATGTGGCAGATTATACATTAAGGCAATATTATGTCAGAACTTCATGTATAGAAAAAATCTTTAACATTATCAAAAGCTTAGCTGTATTTACTAGAAAATAAGTGAATCCTTTTGAAGTGTTTCTTAAAAATGCACCGTTTCTTCGAAAGGGTGAACATTTTCCTTTCTCCTAATGAGAACTGCAACTACGAGTGAAAGTAAAGCCAAGGTATGCTGCAGATAAACAGCAATGTAAATCACTACAACATGCTTAGACTTTCCAAAATGTTGCCACTGTTTGAATCTATGTTTTCACTTCTGCCATTGGAGTCACTGGAGTCACTTCAAGTTTAGCATTTTCATCTGAAATTTCCAGTGATTTGGGTTTTTTGGGGAGCTTGGGCTTTTCACTACTGTGAATGTATTATTTTAATGCCTTTGAACTGTTTTCACTGGACTATCCAGCATAAAAAGCAGCTACACTGAAGGGTTACTTTGTTTTTCTTCATTCATCCTAAAGGAAACGCTTATTCAGAAGTCTCACTTTGAAGTAAAACACACAATACACAGCTTTCTTCCAGTTATGTTATATAATGCTGATTTATGTAAGGATAGGGTTTGTTTTAAAGTGGAAGCCCTTTCTGTGAGGTGTCTGCACAGGCAACAGGTATTCACTCACCTGGTGGTTCCAAAATTCACCAGCTTTCGCACTAAATTTTAGCCAAGGCTTCTGTACAAATTGTGAAGTCCTAGCACTGAAATCTCTGACCACACACATAAAGATGTTTAATTTTAAACATTTTATGTAAAAAAACAGGGACAGAATAGTTCTGTGTTTGTTTGCTTGTTTGTTTTTTTGTTTGTTTGTTTTTCAGAGGATTATTCAGAAAGTAACTGACTTTGCCAAAAAAGCTCACACTCAGAAAATGCCAATTTTTAAACCCTTAAATATACAGAGAAAACTGTGGAGCTTTCTGCTGCAGAGCTTTCCAAATGACTTCCTTTGATAGTGGTTAGAAAGTAACTTCTGCTACTAGTAGTTTCTAGTTTAAGTTTCTAGTTAAAGAGGTTTTGAAATTTCTCTTGCTACTCTTTGTGTAGTATCTGAAGAATATCTACTTCAACCTTCAGTGCTGTTGGTGTTGCAAGTTGTGAATTCAGAGTTGTACAACGTTTTCTCCAATATGGTTGTTTCAGAGAGGACAGTTGCACCATTGCAGTTTGGTGTCACAAATACGTCCCATGTTGCAGCAATCAGTAACCTCTTCCTACAGGTGGCTTCAGTCCAGTGTAGTTAAGTGATCTTTGAAGCTAACAGTGTAACATTGCCTATTAGAGATTAACACATTGCTATCTAATTTGGCTAGGCATTTGTCTTCTCATTCCTTCTCTAGTTTCTTTAAAAGTGTGTTTTTCCCAGAAAGTGAAGAAGCGAATACCTCAAAAAGTCAATCTGAAAAAAAAACAAAACCTACAACCTTTTCTGGTTTTCACTATTGCTTGTCTCTTGTCTGTCTTTTTCAGGGGTGCCCCCTGGGCTGTGGTATGATGGGATAATAACAACGGAAAGAGAAAGCTGGTGCTGTGAATGGCCATCTGAGAAAATGTACAGAGAAGCTGCTGTCTGCTTTTTCACTTGCTGCCACTCACCTTATAATTGTTTCAGTGTGCACTGAAATGAAGTTGAAACATGCGTGTTTTCTCTTTCTGCATCCCCATATTGAGTGTGCTAAGAGCAGTGGAAGATCCCATCAGTTGCCCTGAAACATGACCTACCTACTTTGGGGTGAGATCTGTTTTGTTGTAAAGGATGGCTTTAGTTCTGTGTGTATCATGTATTCTTGTCTTTAATTTGCAGTTAACAAAAAAAAGTTTTGCTTGGAGAAGGCTCCAGGAAGTCCTCATTGTGGCCTTCCAATACTTGAAGGGAGTGTATAATCAGGAGGGGGAACGGCTGTTTACAAGGGTGGATAGTGATAGGACAGGGGGGAATGGTTTTAAACTGAGACAGGGGGGTCTAGGTTCGATATTAGGAGGAATTTTTTCACTCAGAGGGTGGTGACACACTGGAACAGGTTGCCCAAGAAGGTTGTGGATGCCTCTCCCTGGATGCAGTCAAAGCCAGGTTGGATGTGGCTCTGGGCAGCCTGGTCTGCTGGTTGGTGACCCTGCACATAGCAGGGGGGTTGAAACTCGATGATCATTGTGGTCCTTTTCAACCCAGGCCATTCCATGATTCTGTGATTCTAAGATAGCTTATTAAGTTGGAGTATTTGTTTGAAAACTTTATTTATTTACATTACAAACATGGACTGATATAGTAGTTTTTGTCACTTATTTGGATTTTCCCTGACTGTGATGTGTTGTAGTCCATCAAACCAAGTGGTGGAGAGTGACAGCACCCACAAACTCTAGTGTTGGTGTGAGATTATGGTACAGTAGTGGCAATTTTGCTAGTCATGTTAACCAAAATCTGTGTAGTACAGTAGGGAACATTTAGTTTGGCCATTGATTCAGTGGTGAGGTACTGTCCTTTAGAAGTAGCATGTTGTGTAAGTAAGCCATAACACTTTCTGACAGTCAGCAAATTCTTGGTTCAATCTTATAGATTTACCCATACAGAACTTGGAAAAGTCAGTAAGAGAAACTGAGCTTTTCCCCACTAGGATAACAGAGGAATACCTAGGGGGCAATGCAGAACAAATCCCTCTAATTCAGCATCTATTCTCTAAGTCACTGTGATGCCTTTCTTGAAGTGAGAAAACTGGTTTGTTAAGATGCAGTCATGTCAGAGCTGGAAATACAAAAGTGCATTTATTAAAAATGAATTCCATATCCTCTTCCCTCTTGTGTATCTTGTCACTGACATGACTTCACATATTGCAAATCTATTAAGCTTTTAAAACATGAAACTAGAGCTCATTAAGCAAAATGTCAACTGGTGCATAGCAAACTCTCTCAGAATGAAGACTGATAATGTTTGTTTCCAGAGTTTTTTGTCTTCTAGGTCATCACCAAGCCATCCAGCTTTCTGGGAATATAGTTTGTGGTTTCTCTGATTGGAGTCTGACTGTCCTTTGGGGTGAGGTAGTAGGTTGTATAGTTTTAGGGTTATGCCCTGCCTGTCAGATAACTATACAATCTACTGTCTTTCCTGAAGTGGCTGTGATATCATCGCTGGATATGTCTTCAAAATGCAAAGCAAATGTATTTCAACTGTAACGTTCTCTGGCTCTGTCTACATGTTGGTTTTGATTCTTATGAAAGAAAAGAAATGTCCTTTGTGTGTTTAAATTCCTCTGTCATTTGGATTGGAAAGCAATGTCTTTTTTCATCTTCTCAGAGAAACTGAGGTGTCAGAGGGCACAGACATACAACCTAGTCTACAAGGTTTATTTATGCTCAATTTTCTCCATCTACCAGTGTGCTCACAAGAGTGGCCATTTGGAAAAAGGTGATCCATTTCTTCATTACTTTGTGACATTTTTATTTATATTCAATGGCAAACGCCACTTCTTCAGCAGTTATGTAAATCCATCTAGGATAATTCATTTGAGAAACTGACGAGTGATGACTTGGATAGTAATACAAAGAGGATGTCTCATTTTCTGCACTTGAACCAGTAAATACTTGACCCCTATGTGAAGGGATTTTTTTAAATCAATTTTTGAATTGTGATTTAACCTATGTTTTATTGTATCGTGCAAATTTGGGAAGCAGAGTGCTTTCCACTGCAGTTCTTCTGTCTATAAAGTCACTCCACCAATTCTGATGGACTTCCAGGAAGAAATCTGAGGAAGGGCAGACAGGACATAATTACGCTCGTTTTGAAACTAAGAAATGTGGGCTAGAAAATGTTTAGGGAATCTTACTTATGGTAAGTGCAATGTTAGTTTGCTTCAGAAGATCCGCCTGATGCTCTAACAGGATGAGGTAGTAGGTTGTGTGGTTTCAGGGTAGTGATTTTGCCCCAATCAGGAGATAACTATACAACCTACTGCCTTCCCTGATAGGCAGCATAACATCAGTGTCTTAATGCACAGAAAACCAAAGGCTAAAATAGACTTCTGTGACCAGCAAAGTAAGTCTACGTACAATTGTTGTTATCCTATCCCTAATACATCTAACTTCAGTGTCTGGCATTATTTTTAATAACTGCCTGCAAAGTAATTATCTCTTCTAAAGTCTCTATGGGGAAAAATAGAATTAAAAAAGTTCTGCTATTCAAGAGTTTGTCTGTTCTTGATTTCTTTTGTTTCTGGTTCATTTCAGAGGATTGAAGTTTTCAGGGAAATGATTCCAAAAATGCTGTGGACTTGCATTCAAGTTGTTCATATTTCCTGGACATTTTAGTTTGAATGCAACAAATTTTACTAGCAGTGTACTGTTTTTGTTCAGCCCTCTGTCCCTCTCAGGAATCTTGCAGTGTTTTACAAGTAATTGTCACACAGCACTCTTCAGCAGATCAATTTTATATTACAGATAAAAAGTTGTGACGATGAAAATCAAGGACCAAATTGAAAAGACAAAAACAGACATTGATTTTCTATCCTCAGTTGCTCGTAAGCGGTCTCATTTCATGGCATTTAAATAGTCCTGAAAGTGAATTTGCTGATTATTTAAGAGGCACAAATTGTACCTGGAAAATCATGGCCAGGGAATGTTAGTTGGGTCCATTAAAGATATTTTGAAATACACACTATGGTCTTAATGCAAGAAAAAAGAAAAAGGAAAAAAAAAGCCAAAACAAAAAAACCCACCCCAACTGTGGAAATCGTTTTTCCACATGCAAAACTTTTCAGGAAATGGGAATCATGTAAAACTGAAGGTTAACTTAAGATCAGAGGTTTCAACCTGGTTACATAGAATCATTTGTGTATATTTTAATTATACAGCATCTGATTTCTGTAAATTGGAATGTAAATTTGTCATATCTGTAGCTAAGCAAGCCCAGACGTCCATGGTTAGAGCAAATAAACTGATACTATGTTCAGCAGCAGAACTGGGTATTTCATTAGTTCTGTCGTCCAAAAATATCACACATATCTGGACTCTGAGGGTTTTTGAGGTCATTGAACGCTTCAAAACAAGACCATTTGTTAATGCCGTTGATAAATAGTTAGGAATGTTATTTGACTTATGTTCATAGAGATAAAGGCAGTTGGTAGAAGAGGAAAAATTACTCTGTGTCTGAAAAACTCAGGAGATTAGGCAATACTGTGGCTGGTTTTGATCTTCTCTTTTCTTCTCGCTGTTTAAAGAGGATCTCTTAATTTAAAACTGCTGTAAGGATACTTGCCATGTTCAAGGGCTCTGGGACATGCATTGCAGATCCTGAACTCTTTCTTCTGCTGAAAATGCAGGCTCTCAGCTGCAGCAGAAACATCTTAGATGAGTGTGAGTAGAGGTTGCACCATGTATAGCTTATAACATGCTGCTACTCTCCCAGATGCAAAACTACCTGGAAATTTCTTATTTAGTTTTACATTCAGTAAATACATAGCAAATGTTCCATACTGGTGAAAGGGGTAAAAAGAGGGAAAATGTTCTCCATGTTAGATCTCATCCCTGAAGTCACTTTAAAATCTTCTGGCTCTGTCTGGATCAGCACTGTGTTCTTGGTAATGAGCTGTGAGTTTTCAGATTCTAGTCATCCTGGCAATCGTGTTAAAACAAAGGGCCAAAAAAATCCATGGTTGTTGCTTCACTAGGATCTACACTTGCCTGTATTGAGCAGTGTGTGAGCCTGCAGTTAATCAGGTCTGTTCCTAGCAGTAGGTGTCATTACAGCTAATGGGAACTGCAACAGAAACTCGAAAGCACAACTCCATGGTGCCAGATGTTTTTCAGAATTGTGTACAGAAATGCTTGTATCAAAACATAAGTAGTAGCTTCAGCTGGAATTCTTATTAAAAACAAGGGTGTTTTTTTAAACTCAAGACAGCATTAGTTCTTTCTGAGGTCACGCATTGTTCTGTGGCACTCATTAGGTGAGAGGAAAGCACACAATCATAAGCTAAATAATATGTGATTTTATAACCTATGTCTGCTTGTTTGTTTTGGGGTTTTTTTAGTGTAACAGCACTAACTGATGAGCAGAAGCTGAGTATTTCCTGCTGGAAAAAAGCCTATACATTTGGTTATAGCAGACCAGGTGAAAATCAGTGCTCACAGGACTTTGTGGGAGGCTGGGATTTTCATAGAATCGTAGAATGAATCATAGAATGGCCTGGTTTGAAAAGGATCACAATGATCATCTAGTTTCAACCCCCCTGCTATGTGCAGGGTCACCAACCACCAGACCAGGCTGCCCAGAGCCACATCCAGCCTGGCTTTGACTGCATCCAGGGATGGGGCATCCAAATGTCCTTGGGCAGGTGGTATTAGTTCTCCTTTCCTGCCTTGGAGAGGGTACTTTCTTTTTGAGACAAGATCAGTCACACAGACAGTGAAACCATCAATCAAATTTCTGCCTTGAAGGCTGCTGCTCACAGGTTTTAGATCACTGCCTCATGGATTTGTGGAACATCACACATCTTCTATGAACCCATTCAATGGTGCTGTGTTTTGGGGTTTTACTTCAACATGCAAATCTCCCTGTTTTCCTAAAACAAATGCCCAGCATGAAAATTTTGTCTCAATTTGATAAAAGACTAAAACAAATGAAAACATTTTCAGACCAGCTGGATAACTCTGGCAAAAGTGTGTGCTGCCAGCTGTAAAAACTTGCACTGTAGCTGTGCATGAGTGCTGCAAGGTGCGCGCTGTGAGGCTGCACCTTTGGAGCTGCCCTGAGAGGGCAAAAGCCTTGAACACAGAAATAGCTCCTGAGATCTTCCCTGAAAGGGCAAATTAAGAAGGAGGTTTATATAGGGAGTGGATCCAGAAATGCAGTAAGACCATAGCTGGTATGCCAGCCAGTGTT